ATATATATATATATATATATATATATATATATATGTATGCATGTGTGTGTTGTACGTATATAGGGTTGGGTTCTTATGAGAAGAATAGTTAAGGTGAGAAGTGTAAAAAGCGATCTTCACCACTGGATGCACATTAGGAAGAGATGCATCAGATACACCAAATCAATCCTCGTATCAAAAGCGATTTATGGGTGAGTTTGAGATTAAAGATGACCAAAGGTCCAAATCTCTTCTTACACTTCTCACTTTAATTAATCTTCTCACACGATTCTTCGTCTATGAATATATATCGGGTTAGATTTAAGCCTCTTGACAAATATATATATATATATATATATATATATATATATATATGGAAACTTACCAAGAGATTGAGACAAGCTTTTGATAGATCTTGTGAGCCTATGAAATCCAATGTATATATTGGGTTTTGAAAGGGTTGGTAACCTTGATGATCCCTTCATCATATAATCACTAGATGTGTCGTTATGATCCTTTGGACCTTCTTTTGATCTACACACTAAAAAAACCAAAATCCAATCATACCCATTACACAAAAACCAATATTTTTATCTGGGTTCGCATTATTCTGTCAAAATAATCTACAAATCGCGTTCTTTATACGTAGTAAGTACACATACCCATGTGAGACGAGATGATATCCTCCTTTGGACGTCTTCCATGTTGTATGCAGATAGATACACTTGAAGAAGACACACATCCGGCAGTGAATGGAAAAACGACAAGGCGTTCCATTCGACCTTTCATTGTAGAGAGGGATGAAAAGTTGAAGAAATGGGAGTTGTGTTATATAGTGAGGCATATAGTATGCTTTGTAATAAAGATATATATAACGGTTGATGTTTCAGGACCCAATATGTCTAATATGGTATCAAATACCAAATTTAAATTTTTGTCAAGTGTTATCAGTTCTTATTTTTTTATTAACCTAGATATTCAACTTGTTATACGAGCCGACTAGTCCCAGGGTGACCATTCGGGAGTCACTGCATTTGAACCTCCATGACTACAAAAGAAGATTCTTATTCTTTCTTGAATTCGAACCTGAGACCTCCAAGTACTTTTGACCTTTGGATATTATCAGTTCTTTAAAAACCAGATAAATATTATATAGAATTCAAAGATGTAATAATTGTGGTTAATAATGCAAAAGTCAAAAAAGGTTTTGATTCCAAGATTGAGTTTAGACTTTAGAGAGTTGAGTTTGGTAGAGTGAAGTAGAGTATGCAACTAAAAGTTAATGTTGATTTTCTAAGTTAAATGCAACTACTTTACTTTACAACCACCAACAAACTCCATACCTCTCTTAGATTTTGAGGACATGTTCCTTTTATTTATTGTTAAATATTTTATAAAATTATATCTAAATTATATATATATATATATATGTATATATATATATATGTATGTATATATATATATATATATATATGTATATGTATGTATGTATATTGCAGTTACTGTAACCTCTGGTTCTTTAAGGGGAAGGAAGTATAGGTTAAGAAGTTATTCGGAAAGTTCTATCAAGATATTAGTATCCTTGGTTTTATAATTAAGAGTGTGTGTGTGTATATATATAGACTTAGGATTATGTGAGATCAAATTGTTTTCGTGAGATCACTTTTTTATACTTGAAATTTCACAATACAACACTGTGAAAGTAACATTCATAGTTGTTTTTATTGTGAAGGTTCAGATTTTTTTTTACCTTCACAATGTTTTGCTGTGAAAGTTCAAGTGTAAAAATGTGATCTCACGAGTCTTATGTGAACCCAAACCTATATATATATATATATATATATAGAGAGAGAGAGAGAGAGAGAGAGAGAGAGAGATAGGTTCAAATGAAGACGCTAACTATTTAAGAAAACAAGAAAAAAGTCGTTAATGTACAAAATCACAAGTGATTTTCACATTAACGTCAAAAAAAAGGGAAGCGGACAACTTTTGAACCTGCATGATTTTCTATGATACGCACACACACACACACTTGGGATCACGTGAGACCAGTTTGTTTTCGCGAGACCCGTGATACCACTTTTTTACATTTGAAACTTCACAGCAAAACGTTGTTAAGGTAATTTTCACAGTATTTTTGTTGTGATTGTTCGACTTTCTTTTTTACTTTCACAGTTTTTTGCTGTAAAGTTTCAAGTGTAAAAATGCGGTATTACGAAAATAGACTGATATCACGTGAACCCAACCCTATATATATGTGTGTGAATCATGTATTATTTTGTACGCATAAATCATATATGATTTTATATTAACGACATTTTTCTTGTGTTCTTAAATAGTTAGCGTTCTCGTTTTATATATATATATATATATATATATATATATTTATAATTAGTGAATCTTTCCTTTTCAGGCACTTTCCAAATGGAATAAAATGAAAGATAAAAAGGATGGAAACACTTAAATTGGACGCCACGATCACATTCACACCACAACTTAAAGAGTGTTTCACCAGCAACACCCAACTATTTTTCTTTTTTCTTTTTTTTTTTAAAAATTCACCGTAAAATTATGCGATCGGGTTCGTTTTTTATCAAATTTAGCCACGATCGCATCGAAAAATAGTTAACTAACCGTCATTTACGTCCGTTCAGTTTAAACCCTGAAAAAAAGCTACATACCAGTAAACAAGAATTGACCTGAAGTTCAAGAAACTTGTACACTATATATCGCGAAAGGTGAAACCGTATTAATTTGTTGTGTTCCACCATATGTATTTTGAAACTACAATGAGAGCAAATTTTATTTGTAGAGTTGGTTTGCAAGGTTTTTATTCCACCTCAGACCCAAGTTCGGATCTTGTTAGTATTATTTACTTAGTCAAATGGTATCATCGTTTGAAAAAATTCTGTATATTTGTTTCTTATAGTCAAACGGTGCCACCGTTTAAAAAATTCCCCGTATATTTTTTTCTTATAGTCAAATGGTATCATCGTTTGAAAATTTTTATGGGTCCGTCCCTGGTCCCCCTTGATGTCGCCTTTGTCATTTATGCATCTCCTTGTCCTTTGTTGTCGTCGTCTTCTTTGTAGGTTGTAGCTTCACCATCGTCGCCCCCCATGCGACATGGTTATCCTTCCTCCTTTCTCAAGTTTTGTATATTGGTAGTATTGAATTTAAACTGTTTAAGAGGTTGTTTGTTTACCTCGTAATAGTTTCATTAAGAGGCAGCTCCTGAATTATTAAGAGTTGAATCTTGTTTGGCAAAAAAAAAAAATTATGCCTCTTAATGGTTCAAAAATCCTTTGAATGATTTTGTATCATGAGCATCCCTTAACTATTTAATACCCTAATTCCATTGTAAACAATTACCGAACAATTATATTTTATTTTGCATTATATCATGAGAGCCTCTTAATCATTCTGACCACTTAATCATTCTGCCAAACCGTTCAGCAACTGCCAAACAGCCCCTAAGATAATGTTTTAAGTCATGTGATTTTTAATATTTGAATCGGACAAACAATTATGCCCGTATAATTCTTAAATCGAGCTTTTTAATTTGACCAGTATTTACGTTTTAAATCATACATATCACATATCAAACCGTTTGTCTTGGTTCATATTTGGTATAACGGTAAATTTTATATTTCAATATATGTAATAATATTCAAACTTTTCTCTGTTGCGTATATATTTTACCCGATAAACAAATTTTCAACAGATGTGACATTAGTTGAGTTAGTGACATTTTTCACCTGATTAAAAATTACAATATAATTTGACAATATGACATCTAACGGCTTTTGGTGTGTAGCTCAGTTGGCAAAATGACAGTGATTTTGCCCAAATACAATACAGGTCTCAGGTTCGATCCTGAACTCCTCGTTAGCATCAACCGCTGAGTGAACTAAAAAATGCCCATTCATATTGATGTTACTGGAGGCAGGTTTCATGTGGGACTAGTTGTGGTTGTCGATAATCAACTTTTTGTCCAAACATGACATCTAACAGCTAAAAGATCTACGCGTTATAAGTTAAAGAGTAAATTACATGATTGGTCCATGTGAACACATCATGTTCGTATTTTGAAATATCTATGAATTACATCCTTATGATTTTTGATTTATAACATATTAGGTCCCTGACTCTAACTCTGTTTGAAATCTATTCGTTAAGTGGCCATATATACGACACACGATGGGTAGTTCGGTCATTTTAGGTTTCTATCCCTTTCAAACCCTTAAAACACCATCAGACTTCAAAATGTATAACAAAAATTCATCATGTGTACCCGGGTAATCTGCTGAAGCATTAACCGGTTAAACATATTGAAACATTAACCGGTCAGATTAAGAAATCTATGTCAGCAAATAATACTGAGTTGGATACCACGTCACTTGTCACATCAGCATGGTAACTGGTTAATGCTTCAATCGATTACTCAGGTACTTAAATGTTTAAAATTTTACATCTTAGGTACCAAAATGGAAGTTTTGAAAGTACGTTACCCAAACCAAAATATAAATCAAGTTAAAGTACGTTACTTTTTAATGAAATTTGTTCTATTTCAAAATACGAGCCTTATGTAATCTATAGATATTTCAAGATAGGGGTATAATCTGTCATCCATAGATATTTCAAAATAGGGACATGATGTAATATATAGTTGTCTCAAAATAGGGACATGATATGTTAAAACACATAAACTATAGGGACCAGTAATGTAATTTACTCTAAATTAAAATAAACTACTATACTCAAAACTCTACCCTAAATCAAAATAAGAGTAAATTACATTTTTGGTCCCTGTGATTTATGGGTTTAGACAGTATGGATCCCTAAAATGAAATATCTATGAACCTAGCCCGGGAATGGAGCGAAAGAAATAGAGCCACCGGGTTGACCCTGAAGGCCGAATTCTATAGTTAAGAACGCTGTAATAATAATTGGGGTTGGGTCCTTATGGTTTCCATTTTATAACGTGTTGGGTCCCTAAATATATTTCCATAAAAAAATACCGTTAGATAAGTTAGATCAAATGACTAAAATGCCCCTCTAAACTAACTGAGTTAACAATAATTTTTTGGATGAAGTTAGATTTAGGGACCCAACACGTTAAAACCCATAAACCATAGGGACCAAGAATGTAATTTATTCTTAAAATAATTTTGATTTTCTGGTCAAACAATTCTTTCATATTTCCTGCTCGATTGAATCTTCTGCGAATTGTTGTTCCTCCAAAATTCAATTCGATTTCGCCAAGATTTTGTGGGTAAACAATCGATTGCCTAAAGATCCCAAAGTGAAAGAAAAGATATGGCGAAGCGATCAGGTTCCGCTAGGAGAAGAGACGGCGAATCGCTATTAACTCGAGCTGTTGACTCAGTTTTTGGATTCGTTCGATATGCGGAGTTTGAGATCCTCTTCGTTCTCTTCTTTGTTATCGCTTTCGTCATCTTCAAAGATCTGGTTAGTCCTCTGATTCCGTTTTACTTTTGTACCTCAATTTTTTCACGATTGGATGGTAACTTTTTAGGGTTTTATTGAAGTATCATGAAAGTTAGTGAAAATTCTCATGTTGTCATTGAGTTATCTAATTGATTGAGTATTTATCATCTATGTTTTGTATGGGTAGTTATGTGACGTTGCTATGCCTATAGTTAGAACTTATTGGGTATTTAATAAACAGTTACTTTTGCAGAATGTGCCATTGTAGCATGTTTAGGGGTAGTAGGACTACCAATAATCAAATTGGATTCATCTATCTATCTGGTGGTCAATATATTGGCCAACAAAGAATTTTTATCTGTGAAATATTGGATAGGTATATATGTATAACTAATATACTGAGTCATGGATTTCACCTAATGATGGATTGCTCTTCTTTGAACCTGCAAAGAGATAATTGTACTTTTTTATCCCATGAATTACCTTATTGAGAGAGAGAGAGAGAGAGAGAGAGAGAGAGAGAGAGGAGGTAGTGGTGATGTCGGTGACAGCATATGTATAGGACATGGGGTAGTTAGAGAGGGGAGGTGGTGGGGTGGCAGTGGCGGTGGCACCATATGTATAGGACATGGGGTAGTTAGAGAGAGAGAGAGAGGAGGTAATGGTAGTGGCGGTGGCAGCATATGTATAAGACACGGGGTAGTTAGAGAGAGGAGGTGGTGGTGGTGGCGGCAGCAGCGGCGGCATATGTATAGGACATGGGGTAGTTAGAGAGCGAGAGACGTTGATGGTATGCTACATGGGTTACTTTATATATTGTGAAGGCTTCTTTGGACATCCCAAATTCATATCCTTATTCCTTCTCTTCATCTTCTTATGAAGAATAGCTTGTCTTTAGCTGTTTGTCTATTGTGTCACCTTTCTCTGTGTTTTGCTTTCTGGATGAATACATTTAGGCTGGTTATTCCTGCAACGAGTATGGCCTTGATCTCTCCATCACAAAACAGGAGCAACTTCTTTTTGGGGACTAACCAATGTGCACTTGCCATTGAGGTGAAACATAAAAATATGCAGATAAGGAGAGGAGAATTGTTTTATATGCAGACAAGTAACATTGCATCAAAAGAATGGCCGCTTATCTCTTGTCACCGCCCTAAGAACCTTTATTCCTGAACAAAGTACCAGAGGAATTGCAAATGAAATGGAGTGTCAAGAAACATTTCTTAATGTAAACCTAAACCTGAAAAACTAGATGAACAGTTGGAATGAGAATGACAAAGCAACACCAAAATGGACTATGTGAATCTGAGTAGTCTTCTTTCGTTTGAAGAGAGTTTTCATCCTTGCAAAATGAAGGCCAAAGAGAAAAATATGCAACTTTTGTCTCCAATCGTTTTAGCCCATGTGTGTGTGATCTGGATCATGGGCGATACCGCGATAGTGTCTTGCTGTGGTTGCTTCTGGACCAGCCCCTTATCTTCTGCTTTTCCTCTATATGGTATAACTGCTTAATTTGCATGGTTAACCATGATGAAGGTCATGCAATCATCGTTCCTTGTTTGTACTTTTAGAATCCCTTCAGCAGCAATGTCTATAAAAGATTGAATTCCTAGCCACCTCAAGGGGCTATTCCTATTCATGGGGGCGAACCTACATAGGAGCATGCGATGCTACCGCTTCATGGTTCTGTCATAAAGGGAAAAAATACGTTTCTGAAGGGTGCCATAGCCACCGTATTCTTTTGCTAGGTGCCCTTATATTTTTTGAAACCGAACTCTTGGCACAAGTCTTTAATGGCGGAGTTGGTAAATGTTGCTGCCTTTGTACAATAGGCCAAGGTTTGAATCACACTTCGTTAAATTTCTTAGTTTTCAGCTTATATTTTGATGTTTTTATACACCTTTTGTGTTTTTAGAAAAAAATCTGTAGACAGGACTCAAACATGTGTTCCTTCTATGCGGGGACAAGGCACTTACCACCAGAACTATACTAATATTGTGAAAATTATCTATAATTCTTATTTATAGTCAAATTGTGCCCCCACTTAAATTTTTTTATGGGTCTGCCTCTGGCCTATTCATCCGATCTTGTTAACATTCCAAGATTGCACTGTTTGAGTAGGTTTGTTTTTCTTGTATGCCTGTGACAGGATGAATAGTACTTGCTTGTGTAAAAGCCAAACACAAAATGATATATTTTTGGACATTGTATGTATTTGCCATTTGTTTCTTCAAGCCCATATCTTTATATACTTGATATTTCTTGATGGTAAATAGTAATACTCTTTCTTGTTCTCATGTATTTCGTGTGTTGGCCTATCCTTATAATGGTTACCATATCTTAAATAAATCCTCATTCCTTCCTGCCGTAGAAAATGCCTGTTATCTTACATAGTAAATCCATGTTTATAGCATACAATGACTCATCCATTCATTCATCTTCTGCTTGGAACAAGCCTCCGAGAATGATAGTTGATAACTGCTGCAAATAATTAATTGGGGCCTGAAAATGTGTTTGTCTGCACACATCAATATGATTATCTTCCATAGTTAGCGGCATAAACTGCTACTTCCTCCGTCCCGATGTAAGTGTCTACATTTCTATTTTAGTTTGTACCAGAATAAGTGTCCACTTTCTAATTCTACCCTTGTATATGAGACTCAGAAAAATTCTCTCTTTATTATTAAGGGTAAAAGTGTCGGTTAGTTAATTAAAAAGTTACATATTTCTAAAACTGCGTGTCATTTTTATTGTGGACATATATTTTGAGACGAAGGGAGTATTTGCACTTTGCAGCTGTTCACAGAGACTATGATGTATACATCATAATTTGGTTTTGTTTTTCACCTTTTGATTTTACGGTTTTGATTGACTTTTACCTTCTAGAAGCTGCATCAGGTAGTTTTTTGTTGCATAATTGGAAAAATTATTTGAGATTAGCAACATGGTATTATTAACAGAGACTTGATCAAGTCAGATATGTACTTGTTAATTGTTATAGTTTTCATAGTCAAAGGTTTATTAGAGGAGGATAAAAACTTGTTGTCCCATGTTTTGTGCGACATTAGACTGGGATAGGATGGGACTGAGTGAATTTTTTGTCCCAGCAAAATAGGTGGAACAAAAATTAAGATAGATTAGTAAATTACTAAACTACCCTTTTTAATTAAAACCCTAAAACCTTTTGTAGTTCTATCACCTGCCTACCTCATTCGCCCATCCAGTCCTGTTTGCCATACTAAATGCATTCTTTGGGTGCGTTTGGTACCCAGACAGGACAATTGTTTAGTGTTTGGTAAGACAAGACTAGAATTGGACTGGTAATTTATAACTTATATATATTAATTTTAATTAGTTTATGTAATTTATTAAATTATAATAAAATAAATATTTTTTAATTATAACACAACATATTATTAAGAAGTTTTCATCAAGACGATTAAAATGACACCAAAATATGATGTTAAATAATTTCCAATTTTTATTTTATACCTTTTCTATGTTATTATTTATTATTAATATTTAATAAATTACATAAATTAACCAAAATATAGAAAACATATAAAAATAATATTTTGAGGATAATAATGTGAAAATTTAAAAAGGATAAAATAGAATAAATAAAATTTAAAGAATAAATAAAATGTAAAGAGGGTGACATATTTAATATTTTAGAAGAGAATTAAGTTTTATTTTAAGGGAATATTGGTAACATATAGGCTTGTTCCACCTTGTTCAATTGGGTGGAATCTGTTCCACTTTGTTCAACATGTTCCTGTCTGTTCCACATAAAAGTTCTGTCAAACATGGAACAGTGATCCATCAACTGCTGTTCTGTCATGTTCAGTGTACCAAACATACCCTTTAGAGACCCGCAAATATTTGTGCCTGTGGGATCATAATACATGTACTAGACATGGATTTTTAGGACATGTCCAACAAATTTGGGTTGGAAACAGTCATTCTCTCTGTACATTTGAAGCTGAAAGTTGTTTCAGTCTTTTTGGTTTCGGTGTTTGGTGTCTTCTTTTCCAACTTACGTAGATTTTAATTTTTGGGTTTTGTTTGTGGAAGAGCACATTTTTAATGAACGAATGATTGGATTGCAGACATCGAGACCAGAATATAATCAGATCCTCGTGAAGAAGCCCGGAGGACCAGATTGGTGGTCGTCTTAGAAGATGGAATCGTCAATAATAGCCTGTAAGTTGTTATATAACACAATATATTCATAATGAATACTCAGCTTTCCTTGTTGCTCGTTAAAACGAACACTAGGTTCTTACAACCAGGTTTCCGAGTCATTGAATTGTTGATGTTGATGTTGATGTTGATGTTGATGTTGATGTTGATGTTGTAAACAGAAATGGTGGTCAGATTTTCATGTTTTTGAATTTTGATTTACAAAGAATAATTGAAGAAGATGATGGTCAAAATGACAAAAATACCCTTGACCGACAAGCGCGTGGGTCATTTGAAGGATGTCCACCAACGGTATTTGCCATAGCGACTGCGTTGGTATTATATAGTGTGCAAGTAGGTTACAAGTCTAGGGACCAAATGCCTGATTTACAGAATTCTCGTGTGGACCATTGGATTTAGTTCATCGTAAATCAATGGGTTATTTTGCTTCTGACGTTTAGCTTAGTTGACAAAGAGGTGGGGTGAATTTGTCAAAATACAAGACAATCAGGTCTTATTAGTTTCAGCCGTTGAGTGAGCCAAAAAATGTCCCTCACATTGGGTATCGTTGTAGGCGGGTTCCTATGTCGACGGTGGACGGTTGGGAGTTGGGACTGACACCAACTGCTAAACTTTCGGGAAAAAAATCGTCAAAATTTGTGATAACACTTTGACCAAATTATAGATATGTCGATTACTTGCATTATGATTTTACTAGAAAAGTACTTGTGTAATGCAGCGAGATACATCTCGATTTTAATGTTTTGTTTTATTCTGTCTCTGTCGATGTTATAAAATGGTTTTGTGGTTTTGAAAAAAGGTTAATGTTTTTATTTTTGAAAAAAATATAAACTTGAAGATATCTTAAAATTTTGAAAAAAAATATATAGATGTTAATATCAAATTAACTATTTAAAAATTCTCCTTTTTTTATAATTCCTTTAATTCAATTTTTTATCATAATTTTATTTAGACTTAATAGCAAAGTATTTTTTTTTTTGGTTTAATAATACAAGCTTTTATAAAAATTGTAATTAAATATTATGTTATGACTCAATGATTATCTTAATTGTATTTTAGTTTTTTATATATTTAAATTGAGATGTTTATCCTTATTTGATTATGTTTATCTTTTATTAGTTACACAGATTCAAACATGGAGTTTTAAAAAGCTGTACTTCGTACAATTTAATTGTAATCTTGAATTTTAAGTAATGTGCATCAATAAACAATATTTTATGCATAAAAAATGGTTTTTAAGAGTTTTTGTTAAATGTTTTATGATATAGTATAAAAAAAGACCGAAGGAATATTTTTGATGTAAAAAAACCGAATTGCAACGTGTTCTTTTGAACAAGTCGAGTAAGTATCGTGTCTAAAAACACATATTTGCAGGTCAAGAAGCTCATCGAAAGACCAAATTCATCAGTGTTTTGCACAAGGGAAGAGACGTTCTCCGTTTGTGTGTTCAATGTTCGCTATCGATTCTCTTTTGGTCATCTATATTGTATTATAAATTATTTAGGTTTTTGTTTTTAAAAACTCTTAAATCTTTTAATTTTGTTAAATATTCTTCTTTGTTCTTTTAAATGTTAAAGAAGAGACTTTTTCTTGGATCAATCAATAAAATAAAGGGTAAATTGCATGAAAAAAGTAACATATTTTAACTTGATTCTTATTTTCGGTAACGTACTTTCAAAACTTCTATTTTGGTATTTAAGATGTAAAGTTTTAAACATTTAAGTATCTGAGTAACCGGTTGAAACATTAATTGGTTACCATGTTGATGTGGTATCTGGTTAATGCTTCAACAAATAATGTCGAGTTGGATACCACATCATTCGCCATATTAGCATGGTAACCGCTTAATGCTTCAACCGGTTACTCGGGTACTTAAATATTTAAACTTTTACATTTTAGGTACCAAAATTGAAGTTTTGAAAGTACGTTATCTAAAATAAGAATCAAGGTAAAAATACGTTACTTTTTCATGTAATTTACCCAAAAATAAACAAAGCTACGTATTTGAAATTTATGGAAATTCATTTTATAATTGATCTATTTCTAAAAATTAATTTAAAACAACAATTTTTGTTTTACATTTTGTATGAATGTACTTCTAGTTTTAATATATTTGAACAAGAGCAACTACCTCATTGTACCATGGATATAAAAAAAAATGTATCGAGAACTAGGCATGGTAACAGTGCGGGGATGGGCAGGTTTTGTAATCTCCGGCCCCAGTTTTTAGTAACAGCCCCGTGCCCTGGTCCCTGGTCGGTACGGGGATTAACATTCCGTCCCCGATCAAACACCATGAACAATATCCGTTAGTTTGAGTCTACCGGGGAACCTCAACCACGGTTTGAATAACCGACCCCGGGACCCGTTTTAGCGGGGAAATTCCCGTCCCGTTCGTGCTGGGTGAGCCGGGTTCCCCACCGGGTCAGGGCAAATTACCATCCTTATCAAAAACCTCTTTCGTGTAATGATGAATTCTTTTCTCAAACATTGTAAAAAATGTTTAATTTTTTTTATTTCGTATTATAAATGGGTTTATAGCCTGCATGACATCGGTTGTTCGCAGTGTGATGTTTTCCTAAAACTTTACAATATAACTTGATAATTTAGCGTTCACATCACAATGTTTGTAAAATTTACTGGTTGTTGATCAAAATATATACAAAATAGAAAGTATTGAACCTTTTTTTATATAATATTTATATACAACAAATAGAACTAATAAAAGTCATACACCCTTTCTATTAGTAAGATACGTTGCTTGAGCACATTTTGACCCTTGGTGAGGTCTGAACCCAAGGCCAAAGACTCACATACCGCTATATCAAATGCCATGTGGTATCCAACTCAGTATTATTTGCTAAAGCATTAACCGGATACCACATCACTTGCCACATCAACCGGTTACCCGGGTACTTAAATGTTTAAAACTTTACATCTTAGGTACCAAAATGAAAGTTTTGAAAGTACGTTACCCAAAATACGAATCAAGTTAAAATACGTTACTTTTTAATGCAATTTGCCCTATTTTAAAACATTATTACAAACAAATCCTATGAAATCTCGTGAAATACCAACTACCCGTATAGGATTTCTAAATCCAATGTTTGTGGAATTTTAATCCTTGCCTTTTCTTTAAACAAAACGTGGGATTGGAATAGAATCCAATTCCGAATCCCATCACATCTCGCAAACCAAACAGGCCCCTGGTGATTTGAAGGTAGGATTCGAACTTAAAACCTTAAGGAAACAACTACATATGTAATGCACCTAGTTTTGCTGAATAACTAACAGAAAAACACCCAGAAACTTACTTTGGATCCATGCCAATTACTTCAAAACTTCCAGAATTTCGCACTAAAATGGGTCTTCAATTTTCAAGTCAGTAACAGCAATGCTGCCGTCAAGTGTTGGACATGGTCGTGTCAAGGTGGTGATCTGTAGGGTGCATCTGGTACGCAAGACAGGACATGACAGTATAAAAACTTGTCCTACGTTTGGTGGGACGATAGACCGAGATAGAACAGGACCTGAGTGGGACAAAATATCCCACCAAAATAAGGGGAACGAAAATCAAGGAGATGAGACAAGATTGGTAAATTACTAAACTACTCATATCAATTAAAAGTCTAAAACCTTCCACAATTATTTCACCCACCAACCTCACTCTCTCTCATCTGGTCCTATCCAATACCGTTTGAATACCAAACACACCCTAAAGTAGCATTGGTGCACAATTGGTGGCACCGGAAACTAGGGGTTAACCACTTGGTTTGTGGCACACTGATTAAGGCTCAGGGAGATGTAGTGGAAATCTCAGCTTCCCCGGGTTCGAATCCTATTTTACCCATGGAAGTTCACCTGCGATCACTCCAAGTAATTCGTTGTCCCCCAAGGGATTAGTCGGTGCACGCGAGCCACTAAGCTGGCCCGGATACCTACAGTTACCCAAAAAAAAACTAGGGGAAAGGGCTCGATGTCAAGAGCTTAGAATGTAACAAATGAACTAAGAATATATAATGCAATTACAAAGCAATGTAAAATATAAAGAACATAAGACGGGTCTAACAGACCGAAACATAAACCCTACAAATGCTCCCTTACTTATTCAAATGAAAGAATTTCTAAAATCAGTTTCATGACAAGGAACTAGAGCAATATTAAGATCTGTTGAGGTTTCTCGCGTATCTTTTCTGATATAATCGTAAAATTACCTCATTTGTTTGCAAGATACTTTTTTGCGGAATGTGATATGGAGCCATGATACTCTTTTTTGATATACTCCTTTTACCCCAAAATAAATGTCCACAATTAAAAGCAGACACAAGTTTAGAAATGTGTAACTATTTCATTTCTTAATTAACTAAATGACGATTTTACCCTTAACAATAGAGGGAGTAATGAATTTCCTCCATCGCATAATTAATGGTGGCTTATTTTTAAAAATGGACACTTTGGGAAAAATAAAATTATAGACAGTTATTTTGGCATAGAGGGAGTAACGGTAAACTTACCTCATTTGTTTGAAAGATACTTTGCTGAATGCGTTATGGAGCCGATTAATACCGGTTCACTTGCAGAACTGTCTTGAATCTCGAATTGACGTAGCAAGCATGAGCATTTGAGTAACTCTAGCTTAATCGCAGCAGTTGTACCTAGAAAAAGACGACTTCCATTAAATAGAATATATATAAATATCTGATTCCAATTCTAACAAACCAATTTTAACCGTCCATCTAGTCTAATAAATATTTGATTCCATTTTGTTTCCTAATCTAAAGCCATGATCATAATGAATGAATCTTATCAGCTTCCATATATATGAATCATGATAATGTCCATAAATATCTCTATTATTTCCTAATATAAGCATTGACTATGGTTAGTATAGTTTGTTAGACTTAGATGGTTTGTAAATGAAGCGTCCTCTATATATAGGGAGGTTTAGGGGAAAACCTCAAAAAAGTGAAAAACTGCAGAACACCCTCGTAGTCATTCATCTGACCGGTATGCACATGTGCATACAAGAAACTGAAGTTGCTTCTTGGTTTTTATGCACATGTGCATACCGGACAAGTTGCTCACAAGTTACTTGTATGCACATGTGCATACCGTCCAGATTACCAGGGTGTTCCTCGGTTTTCCCTGAACCTATATTTGTATTTGGAAGCAGTGATCTTATTCGATGGAAAAAAAATACAGGCCATAACCTGCTATATTTGTAGTAACTGCTCTATAATCACCAGGTTGTGCTGATGGATTAGGGATCACTGATTGAATTTCGGCTTTTTCTTTCACAAAGCCTACAGGAAAATCCAGTAACACACATCTCCTAGGCACATCACTATTGGAAATTTTTGATTAAATACGCATAATCATTTACAAACCCAATAAATCGTACAAACTTACAAACCAGTTTTCATGTGTTGTTCCACATATGAAACAACATGTGTGTAAATACATGTTGATACTGTGTTGTTCAGGACTCTTTTGTGTGTGGAAAAAAAACAGTCCGTTTCACATATGAAATAACATTGTATAAACACTGCATTTTCTTACGTGTTGTTTCAGATACGAAACAGCAAATGGAAATTGGTTTGTAAGTTTGTATGAAGACTTGGGTTTGTAAAAGAGGGGGACTCTACTAGAAGTATAAATATATCTACTTCAACCAAAAAGAGTTCACATCTGGAGGAAGTTTGAATGTCTATAGTAGACAGGATGATTGTTGATTCATCATGAAGCCCAAGAGTACTTGTACCAATTTCTGAAATGTTCAAACCATAAATCTCAAAAAAAAAAAAAAAAACTGAAATATCAGTGGCAAAAATGTGAATAGGTGAACAACTTACCACCAGCAAACCCCCCTCCCCCGAGTCCCCTGAGAAATATATATCCTTCTGTCCCAAAATAAATGTGCAAGAGTAAAAACACACACGGTTTTAGAAAGATGAGGGATCGTGTAAGAATGAGGGTTATGGTGTGAATGGTGAGAACACTTCTGAGCCTTTGGATGAGTTGACTTTTTAGTCTAACTGGATTTTTTTCAACTACTTTCGGTACATTCATCAACTTCAACTACATTCATCTACCTTTATCTTCATTTTTTAAGTCATTTTTACGAACTTTTACATACCTTTAATCACTTCCACTCCACATGCATGAATTTGTTAAATTTTGATCAAAATGATTAAAATAGGTAAATAAAGGTAGTTGAATGTAGATGAAGGCATATGAATGTTTTGTTCTCACCATAACTTTTATTCCCACCGGAACCCAACCCGCTTCTAAAAATGCGTAACTACTAACTATTACACTTTTTAATTAACTAAATGACAATTTTACCCTTAATAATGGAGGGAGTAATGAATTTCATAATCTCGTAATTAAGGGTAAAACTGGGAAGTAGGCACTTACTTTCGAAAGTGGACATAGCTCCCTCAGAAATGATGCTCATAATATAATTGGCAACAAGCAGTCGCAGCAGAAATTGTAGAGGAAAGGAGTTCCTGTAAGATTAGAGCATGGAAAGTACCACAGAGATAGAAAGGATGCTTATACCAACTATTGGTTCACAAACAGCCGGAAAGACAAGAAATTTATAATAGATCAATTATCCGCATCTGGTTTGACCAGATTTGACAAAAAATGTGGAGTTTACACAATGCATTTTATCGCAGTTTAGATAATTCGAGCCTGTCGATGGAATTGAATTCCAGAAGAATAGGTTAACTTTAACATGCATTATGTACATCAATAACCGAAATGGAAGTTACAGGCAACTTTTTAAATACTAGTAATGATTATAGGAAGTAACCATGACTTTTAGGATCAAGTGAGACCAGATTGTTTTCGTGAGACCATATAAATAACACCGAACCTTCACAATGTTATTGTTGTGAAGGTTTGGAGTTTTTTTACCTTCACAATATTTTGCTGTGAAGTTCCGTTGTTATTTTGTGGCCTCACGGGTCTCACGAAAACATGTTGGTCTGACGTGACCCCAATCCGGTCCTTAGCCGTCCGGGTCCGTGATATTATCATTGGAGGGCATTTGTCTTCTCTCCGATAGGGTAATTGGCCTGGAATTAACCAACACTCCGTCAATGGGCCCTTTTGCTGTAACGTTTAGTGGACCAGTTCCTGAGGATGATGCTAACAAATGGCGATCAGTTGGGGTATCAGCTGAAGTTGGAGAGAAATTGTAAGTCAAGACTCCCATTGGGTGGTCAAACTTGCAACTTGGGCCGAATTTGCATATTCCATAACGAGAATAGAAAATGCACAAGGGTTCTCCCTGTTGAAAATTGGAAAGAACTTTGTCAAACATTCTATTGAGAAACAACCAATCCATTTTAGCTAATTTGCTGTCATGCATCGATATACAGCCCAGGCCCAGGACCAATATTATATTCTAGAATAAATTGATAGTATAAACAGGGGCGTGTAAAGGTATCCAGAAAATTGTTGAGTTTGTTTTTGGGAGAGTCTAGCCTCTCAGCTAGTTTCCTATCCTTTTCTTGTTAATTGAAGCATCCAACTACTGTTCTGCCCTATTCCTTTTATTTTAGTTGTTCAGTAATTCTGGTTCATAACATTTGCCCACTCCCCCTTTTCCCTCTAGCCTCTATCCATTTGTTATCTTGTGTGTTTTACCATAGCAGTTAACCAAATTCTGATAGCATAGCAATAACATACTTCTTTTGGTTTAACCAGAATCATTTGTAAATACCTCAACCCTCAAGTAGTGTTTAACTGGTTCCATGTCTTTGATACTAGAGTTTTTGTTCAAAATGCCTTTTTACATCAGTGATAATAAGCAAGTTATCTACATACTAATAGAGAAAGGCCCATGCAGGCGGCAGGCCTCAGAAAGTTTACTAATATGATAAAGGTTGTTATGCTTGCTCATGGGGGAGAGAAAATACTAAATATAATAATCCTGTTTGTAATAAGAAGGGTATGTGAGATTATATCTTTCTGTTGAGAGCATTCGCCTATTGTTAGCTTGGGCAGAATGGGTAGGCCAATTGTTGGTTACCTTTTGACTTTGTTCATCTTTATCTTTTGAATTCCGATCAACCATTAGTTCAATTGCCCCGTTTTAATTTCGTAGATTGAACACTCTGTTCAGGGTTCTATCACATACACTGGAATCGCAGTGAATCTTCTCATCTTGTAGAGTGAGCAAAGATTAGCATAGCTTCTTATAAAGACCATGGGCATGTTTGTTAGCAGCTTAATGAGCTTAATGGGACTCAACTTATTCAGTCAGCTATTACACGATTGTTTGGTAGTGGCTTAATGATATAGAAAGTGACTTCTTCAGTAAGCTTCTAGGGGGAGCTTTATGCAGAAAGCCAAGTTTTTTCCAAACCTGCCCCTCCCAATTAAAAAACACGCTCCTTCTATCTATGAAAAAACTCTCCCAAATAAAAACATTCCCAATCTATACAGACAACTTTATCCATACAGGACTTAATGTCAAGCAAAGCCTCAATAAGTTTCATGGACCATTGTCCAGAAGCTTGTTTCAATCCATAGACAGAGGCTATCTGAAAATCTCATCCAAGGAACCATGCAAGCATTTATTGTTCAGATCTAAATGGAAGGATGTGAGAAATCTCAAGTGGTGTCGGACAAGAGACGTCTTTGAAAGTGAAGTTAGTTCCTAGCCACAACCATTCTTCATCATCATTGGCAATTTATATCCTAACATGTTATAGGAAGTTCCACATGGTTGTTGGTGATTTTAGTGTGATTGTGATTTGTGTGATATTGATTTGGTGATAAGGCAAACATAAATGAGTTAGGTGGTGTGGAGTTCACACTCACAAATGTTGCTTTTATCACCTAAGTTCGCCATAAGAACGGGGTCAAGGGGGCCGGACCCCTTGTGGGGTTCTAGGGGAAGATCCCTTGGCGGTGGACCAGCTTGGTGAAAATTTGACTTAAGTATGGATCAGAGACTGAGTAATCAGAGCCTCTGAGCCTTATGCTCAGAGCTCTGAGTCTTCCTGAGTATCCTAAGTGTTGTGATCAGAGCTCTGGATTTCTTCTAATGTTGCTTCTGACTTCGGGACAGTTGTAAGTTGTAACTGCTCCCAAATCTTATCCATTAACAGTTGTAACCGTCATGCAGTTATCTTTTAACCGTGTTAACCGCTCGTAACCATCGATCTGTCATATAAATATGTAAACGAGAATCTGGGTGTATACAAGGACTCGATCTTATAGCCTTTAAGATTAGAGTTTTCTCTAGGATTATCCCAATACAAAATTCGTGATACCCAAGGAATAAGGATCGGAGTATTGTATTCGGAAAGTGAACTTTCATGATACAAAGAGATTATCCAGTCCACATCATCTCCAATCCCCAATTTCTAACAATAGTGAATACACTAGCTCAAGTTATCTTATCAAAAAAATTAGAACGAGAAAAGAAAAGGTCACCATAAAAGCTGAGATTTTCACTACTTTTGCATATAAGAAAAATCAAAACAATCAAGAATATTGAAGCAACTTGCAACAAATATAGAAAGCATAGCTTCAACTTCAAGAACTTTCAGTTTTCTTGTTATATGTTCAAGGAAGATGTAACACCCTAAGCCCAAAGCAACAAGCTGGTCCAATAACTTTAGATTCAACGTAAAACTATGGTAGAAATTGTTGGTAGCCCACAATTTGAGGCTTATAAGGAGCTCATAAATCCCATTTTCTATCCATGTGGGATGAGTTGTTACAGAAGACAAGTACTTGGATGAAAGGAATCAATGTAATATGAAATAGTGACGATGGATATAATTATGAACAGACCAGATTGTTCAACTAACCGGGCGTAAAGGAAGGCCGATTGGACTCAGGACACAGTCAGGCGCGGGAATCACCCTCTCTCTGGGGTGATGAAATCTGCAAACTGCACCAAACTTACAATCTCCAGTCTTCATGTAAAATTGGCAATCAGGCTGACCAGGCCTCTCCGGGAATACATTCTCCCTTGGTAACGCATAATAACCGGTATGTACAGACCCAGTATGATATGAGGAATATGTTCCTTGAAGTGGTTCGTTAGCTGTTTCACTTTGGCGTGAAGTTCCATAAATTTGATTGTTTCCAGCTGCTTGCTGTTGTTGGCTCTCTGAAGATGAAAGTGAACCCAGAGAACCCTGCCAAGTAAGTCACTGAGTCGTAATATCAACTGCATTGGCTAGGCTTTTATTCATAAACAGGAATTAAAAATACACTGTACACTGTTAAGAATATAGAATTTATGGGTCAGGTTCAAATGAAAAAAAATAAAAAAATGAAAAACTGAGGAACACACTGGTGTATTCATCTTTGTACGGTATGCACATGTGCATACAAGTAATTAGTAATTTGTTTGGTATGCACATGTGCATAACATGCACTAGTGCATATCAACCAGGAAACATCTTCAATTACTTGTATGCATATGTGCATACCATACAAATGAATTGTTACCAAGGTGTTCCTCAGTTTTTTTTTTTTTTTTGGGGGGTTTCCCACTGAACCTCACTCTGGAATTTATATGTAAATATGTTTGGGATGATTAAAAAAAGTTGTTGCTGTTGGTTTGGTAATTTTTTAGGATTTCTCATTTTCGATTTTGACCCAGTATACGAGTGCCTTTGTGCTTCCAAGACAATTTAAAACATGAACCTTAATAAAAAGACCAAACCAAACAGCAGTGATCTTTCAAGCACATACATTGACATCGAATCATATGCTATCCAAGGGAATGTTTGTTAGCAGGTTAATGAGCTTAATGAGACTCGCATCTTATTCGGTCAGCTATATATGATTGTTTGGTAGTGACTTAATGATATATAAAGTGGCTTATTCAGTAAGCTTCTAGGGGAGCTTTATTCAGAAAACCAAGATTTTCCAAACTTATCCCTCCCACTTAGAAAACACACTCATTCCATCTATGAAAAACTCTCCCAAACAAAAACCTTCCTAATCTATACATACAAATTAATCCACACATACAAATTAATCCACACATACAGCTTTATCCATACATAACTTAACAAAAAACCAACCAAACAGCCCCTAACTGAGTCAAACATTCAGAGCATAATGATGTATGCTTTTTATGTCTTCCTAAATCTATTTTTGTTTTCCATTTGAATAGGTTTGTTTCTTCAATTGCCATCCAACATGCAAAGACCATAATACAATCTAAGTTTGATGCAGGTTTCATCAAAGACCACTTGAAGTTTGAATTAGCATTTAATGAAATCACAGTTTAATAGTTTATGGTATCATTCAATTCCTATCACAATATCATTAAACCAAAAAATCATGTGGATATAAAAGAGTCCCCTTCTTATGATAAGATTAATAACTTAAGGGTCAGGTCCAGGGGAAAACCGTAAAAAAATGAAAAACTGAGGAACACCCTGGTAATTCATCTGTAAGGTATGCACATGTGCATATAAGTATGCTGTAAGTACTTTGTCATAGAAACCAAGAAACAACTTCAATTACATGTATGCACAAGTGTATATCATTCAGATGAACGGTTACCAAAGCGCTCCTTGGGTTTTCACTATTTTGGGGGTTTTCCCCTGAACCTCCCTCAATAACTTAAACATCATAAAATCGAAAATTGACATATTTAAACCTCAGCTTACTCTGTATGCATTCCATCCTGGAACCGACACCACACCCTGTGGTAGAATCATCTGGGCATAATTTGAAGGGCCTTGCCAACGTGGACTAGGAACAAAGGAAGGTCTGGACAAGGACCAGTTTGTTATTCCTCCGGGGTACGACTGTTGACCAGGACTTGTTGGTGACTGTACTGTGGGATAAACCGGAGAACCACCAAATGTGAACATCATGTTAGATGGGTGAGGGTGGTGAAATTTACAGGTGTTTCCAAATTTGCATTCTCCAGTTCTTTGATAATAAGCACATTCTGCCTCATTCTGCATGAGAGCGTCAAATTAAGGATCACATCAGAATACCAAAATTTCCAAATTTAGTTGCACATAAGAGTATTAACAATAATAAGGTACAGAAATTAGGGACCTTAAATTTTTTCCTTTTGTTAAAATTAACTTACATATAGAGAGAGGTTCAAGGGAAACCCCTAAAAATGAAAAACTAAGGAACACCTTAATGACTGTTCATCTGTATGGTATGCACATGTGCATACAGGTAATTGAAGATGTTTCCTGGTTTCCATGCGCGTGTATATACTGGAAAATTACTTACAAATTACTTGTATGCACATACGCATACCATATAGATGAACGGTTACTAGGGAGTTCCTTAGTTTTTAATTTTTTTTTACGGTTTTTCCCTGAACCTGACCCCATCTTATAATATAGCCAACAAGGTGAGGCAAGGTTGATCTATCTGAGTGTGCAAAAGTAAATTAAGGGTTATATTGCATTTGAGTAAATAAGTCCTCCATAATTTTCAATCGTCGTCCCAACATTAAATGTTTTTGCTCTCTCCTATAACTGATCTTTTAAATCGACTTTAAATCAAAATTTCTTGTCCACATATCTACCCTTAGTAACTTGAATAAACAATGGGATTGTGCTAATGACTGATGAGTTTTTAAAAAGTAAAAAAGAAAAACAGAAATCTGGAAAGACAACATAACAGTAAGAGCTGCAAATGCAAACCGGGCGAAGTGGATAACCCAAAACATTCAGCGAAACTCGCCCAGCCATTCCAGCCTTTTCTCGAGGATGATGAAACTTGCATGTTGCTCCAAATTTGCAGGTGCCCGTCTTTAAGTAGTACTGGAAGACATGCAGAAAATACAAGATATACAACCCGAAGCCAGTAAAACATATTCAGTTCGACAGCATGCAAAGGCCGACCCTTTAAAGCAGAAAAATACAATTGCATTCCCTTTAAAGGCCAAATAAACCTAGTGAGGAAAGATGAATGCACTTGAAATTAGGCTACAAGATAAGAAAAATAAGGGAGAGGTCCCAAGTTCAGATCATTTCCTGTGGCCCGTTAAGGAAAACTAACAGTAATTACTAAAAAACGTTTCCCAAGCCAAAAAGAAGGAAAAATAAGATTTTTTATTAGAATAGATTGTTTCTTGCAGATGTGTCTGTACTTGAAACGTTATACTTTGAGGTTCAGGGGAAAACCCCACAAAAACGGAAACTGAGGAACACCCTCGTAATCATTCATTTGGATGGTATGCACATGTGGATACAAGTAACTAAAGCTGTTTTTTTGGTTTTTATACACATGGTGCATGTTATGGAGACGTGCATAAAGTCTAGATAAATGGTTACTAGGGTGTTCCTCAGTTTTTCATTTTTTTGCGGTTTTCCCTAAACCTAACCCAATCTCCCTATATCTATATCTGAATCTACATCAAATTTTTGTAGGAACCTAAAATTTAACATTATAGATAAACTTGGAGGTTGTCTAATTTAGTAAGAAAACATCTTTTGGTGCAAGTATCATCCTTTATAGCTCTTGATGCTCTCCACATGGATAGTCAAAAGAGAAAGTTCAAGATGATGAAAGAAAAGACCAAGAACCATCCTTTACATCTAAAAGCACCAAACTCAATTTGAAGTTATCACTTCAAAACCAAGCATACAAAGAGCGTCTTTGATGCAGCATATAATAACAAAAACGAAGATTAAACCCGTTGGTTCTACGAATACCCGGTTAATCTAAGGTTCGTTGATTCGACGAATACCGAACCTTAGGCTTCAAATTTGAATTCACTGTGAACAAATTCAGAAGAAAATGGAAGTTTCTGAATTTCTAGTCTGCCCATCCAAATTACACAAGCAACATGTAAATAAGAAGGCCAAAACGAAATGGTCCTAAAAAAGACTATAGGCCAAAATGAAAATGTAAAAATTAGCAAAAAGAACACAAAAGTGTCTAAAAACATGCTTAAACAACGTTTTTAGGCCTCGAAAATCTCATAGGCCCCTTTGGGTCCATCCCAGGGCATGCTTGGTTCAAGCTTCGAACCGACTGATCGTGGGACTGAGACGTAGTTCCATAGCAAAAGTTATGGCCGTTTTATCCCGATCATGGGCCTCCAAGAACAATAAGGCCTGGTCCTCCACGCCAAGGCCCGCATCAGACTTGGTCCAAAAAGACCAATGCTTGCAAGTCGGTGTGGTTATATGAAGAAAATACCATTGAAATTACTGATACTAAGACCCAAAAACAAAGAGCCTAACTGGAGGCAATATGGCAACAGAGATTGTGAACATATTCCGACAAAAAATGATTGTGCTTGGGAAATGTGTCTTTTATGTAACTGCTATAGTTCTTCTGAATCTTGCCCAAGAAGCTAGTGCATCATTAACATGATTAAAATTCCCAAAAACTAAAAAAGTAACCTCTGGCTACAAGACTATTTTCAGGGTTTACATAATTCCACCAACCTGGCATTCAGGTTGTCCTGCTCTTTCTGGATATTCTCCTCTCATTTTTGCAGTTGCAATAGCCTGGAACCAATGGTAACATGAGCAGCTGTTGTTAAATTAAGCTGTCAATAGCTCAATTAAAAACTAATGAAGGTAGAATGTCATACTTATCTATTTATGTATGTCCGTATACATGAATATTTATATAAGCTGATACTGATACATATAAATACATAATATATATAGGTGGAGGTTCAAACGGGAACACCTCCATCTTGCGAAAACGCAAGAACACCCTTATCACATACGATAATAAACGTGATGGAACCTGGTGGTGTGCAGACAACTTGGTCCACGACCTAGGTTGCGCCAAAGGTCGTCTGCGTGACTGCGTCTCTGATTTAGTAAGCCAACAAACACAGAGCAAGTAAGGCCAAACAACACATCTCTAGTCTAAACTACCAGCCCTCTATTCCACCCGTAAACAAAATCCTGCCCAACTCCCTTCTGGCCAAATACTCTAGCTACAGGTCCCCAGACTTAGTTCCTAGTCCTCCGTCTCCAAGTACTCCTATCAGAGATCATATCCTCATAAATGTCTAAAACTGCAAGATAATATAACTCGTAAGCAGAGTTGCAGGACAGTATAATTCCTTCTTTGGGTCAGAACCTTTACAATTTAGAATTTGAAGACATGGTAAGAATAGTGCTTCAGTGCTTCTATAACCTTAGTGTAACACATTTTGGATTCTGCAGCCTCACTAGGTCCATGAACCAAAAGGACGTGTAAACAACAAATTCCGTAGACCATGATGGAACTAAACCATTTATTTAAGAAACCAACATTTGAACTAAATCATTCAATCAACAAATATATTATTTATCAAAATGCAGTCAGATTTACCAGTTTCCTGTTAGGAGGATGATTGAAACGACATGTTGCCCCAAACCTACAAAGGCCTGTTCTGATGTAGTAAGAACAGTCTGGCTCTCCTTCACGCACAGGATAAGGTCCTGACTCCATTGCTTCCCTTGATCTCAAGTTCAGTTGCCACAATGCATCTGAAATACTATCAGAGCTGTCAGCTAGCTATGGTGCGATCATACCAGCACTTATGCCATAACAATCAATCACATCAGCAGAAGCAGAAGCAGAAGCAGAAGCAGCAATATAAACCACAAATAACACATAAAAACACTATAAAATTCATGAAATCAAATAAAACCTGTTGTTTATATAACATAACGGAGACAAACAAAAACATAAATTAAGATCACATTCACCACTGATCAGTCCAATTAAGCAATTTCAACAACAAAGTCAAAACTAGCTCCACAAAACAAGCATTTACTCCATCATCCAAAATCATCAAATTCGCAAAAACAGAAACAAAATAGGACCTTCATCTGACGGCGGAGACAAGGATGAAGAGAGTTCGGCGGTCATCGGAATTCCACTGTCGAAGTCCATACTACCATCACTGGAACGACATCGTTCATCACCAACCGAACTTGCTCTCCGCCGGCAATCTCATACGCATAAATTCACCTCGAAGTCTTCGATTATTTGAAAATTTTCTGTCTCCGGCTTCCTCGACTCCGATCAAATGTGTGTGTGTGTGTGTTTGGTGTGTGTGTGTGTGAGAGAGAGATGAGAGAATTGAGTGTTTTTCTCGTTCGTTCTCTTCTCTCCACAAACCAGCAGTAAGAAACAACCAACCAATTTTCCCAGCATAAAATCTATTCGCCTTTTCCACACGCGCGAACCAATAGAAACTCTCGCGAGGTATATGTCGCTTTCACCCCTTTCGCGAATGGAAAACTTTTGAGAGTAAATTACATTTTTAGTCCCTGTAGTTTGTTAATAGTTGTAAATTTGTCCCTATGATTTAGAACTTGGGATTCTCATCTCTGTTGTTTGTAATTTAGGGTTGGGTTACGGTGAAATTGAAAGTTACGTTGAAAGGGTAAGAAGAGATCCCTACGCGTAAATCAATCTTAATTGAAGATCAACAGTATTGAGATGCATCAGATTAGTTTTCGTATCAAGCGTAATTCATGGGATGTGAGTAAGATTAAGGGGTTGTTTACTAAATACTTACCCGAGTAAGCGCTTACCAAGTCACATTACCTCACCGGATAAATACGGTAAAGACTAAGAATTTTACCCGATAAAAGCGAGACAATGACCATGAGTTTTACACGGTAAGTGAGGACGATGACTCTTGCCACGGTAAGCGCTTACCGGGTGAATTGTTGCATACAATGTTGTTTTGATGGACTAAAATCTTACTCAGTAAGTGAATAATAGTGTTAAATTTTATCGGTAAGCACTTACTGGGTAAGTGTTTGGTAAACGGGCCCTAAATGTGATCAACGGTTCAGATCCATTTTATGCTTCTCATGTCTCACCTTAACTCCTTTTATCATACGATCCTTCGTCTTGTAATGTACTGTTATTTGCTTCTTATGATTTACAATTTGTTTGTTGTTTCGGTCTCTATAGTTTACGATTCTTTACTGTTTTGGTCCATTGTATTTTAAAAGGTAAGAATTAGTCTATGAACGAAAGTAGCAACAAGTTACAAATTATAGGGATGAAAATCACAAATTCTAAACCATAAGGACGAAAGTAACAAGTTTTAACAAGCCATGGGGACTAAAACGTAATTTACTCCCGTTTTTATGAATTAAACTAGGTGTTCAAATAGCTCGTTGTAATAGTCGTCTGGACGAATCTTGTATAGTTAGCTCAACTGTCAATAAGGTTTGAGGATCATTCTCAAAGATCACCTGTTTTGAGTACTACAATGCCACTGAGAATTTTCCAGGATTTTCTCCAATGTCCCTGACTCAGTCGAGGTGTGCGTAAGTTGGCTCAGACACTCATGATTAACAAAAAAAAATAGACGTCGAGGCGAGTCAGGATCCAAGACTTGTGTCTCGTGTTAATTTTGTGATACTGTCATAGCATAATGTACGGATGTTCTTTTTCTATGATGTGTATTGATCTGATTGGTAAGCAGGAAATGGGGAGAAAATTTTGGAGACAACATATTTTTTTCTGTGCTTTATGGGGTTTGGGTCCATTTAATATTTTAAAATCATAATCTGGGGAAGAAAAAGGGTTTCTCTGTTATTAGATTTACTGGTTTTGGTTGGTTTTTTTTATCACTTATGTCAGTAATTTGTTGTCACTGATTACTCCGAAAATGTACACCTAAGGACCTTGTTGGTATGATCATCGTTTGTTATTACTTAGTTTGATGTTTTGTAAGAAAAGACGTTGTATCGGTGTAGTTTGATTAAAAGCTAGATACCAGTAATACATTTTTTTATTAATCTGGATATCCAACCCACTATACGAGCCGACTAATCCCAGGACAATCATCTGCTTTGCAGGTAGCCTGGAGTCACCACATTTGAACTTTTGTGGCCCAGTAATACATTTTACCTTTTATGCTTTATCTTCGATCAAGTTATCCATTGGGATATCGGGTTGTTATCATATGCTCCCTGATAACTATAACTTTTAAGCCAAGAACGGTTCATGTCGGATATCTACGTAGTTTTTGCATTATACGTGGAAAAAATGGAAACATGGCACTGACATTTTTGTTAAAAGATAACATACATTTAATTAGGGAAATTACCCAGAATAATCATTTTATACAATGTACATTAACAAAATGACCACTTTTCAAAGTTTTTTTTTTCATAAAATGACCACCAAAATTACCCCTGGAGGGTGATTTTGACTATTTTGGGACAATTTTGACTAAGGTACGTATGAGTCTCACATGTATAACATTTTGGTGACAAAAATCATATATTATATTTGAAAATGGGCAAATCTCCCCATGGGGG